TAATATTATCTATTATCTTTCCATGTTGTGTGGTGTTTTACATTTGAATACAGTCCACTTTAAATTACACACAAAAACTCGTCAAAATGTTTTTTATTTATTAGTATTAATACCCTATATCTCTAGGTAAATTATTATAATACACGACGCAACATCCGTATCATTGATATAAAATATCTAGCTATTTTAGATTCGTTAATCAATATCAAAACCTATACAAAAACCACTACGATAACTGAGTGGTATTGATCAGAAATTCAAATTTCAGATAAATTAGTTTGATGTATAGGTAATTTAATTAGGCAGGTAGGTACATATTAAGTATGATAAGGATTTTATAATTATTCCTATGTTCGATCAAATGTTTCAAGCTGTAATAGTAGTACAATGGTATGATTAATTCCTCACTTAATTCATTATAAAAAGACAGCTTGTCACAGTCTCTGTAAATAGCTCAACCGAAGAATTCAAATATTTAAATATACATTTTGATAAATTGAAAATTGTGTTAATTATTAATGAACTCAACTTGATTACACATAAACACAGAATTACAACTATAGATAGATAAGATTAAAATATGTTTTAAAAGTTAAATTGTGCCCATAAAATAAAATGCTATTATTATTACAACAATTATTGTTTTTACATCTACACATGATTTAAACAATTTATACTAAAAGATATGTTTTCATTTTACATAGGTATGATTGTAGCGCTTATATTTAATATCGATCATCCATCTCATAATTACTTTCCTGTTTTGAACCCACTTGATTTGAGTACCTTAGTAGATGGATGACATGAAGCTAATTTAACATTTCTCTGACGTTTTGTAGATAGCATTCTAGATACTCCGGTAGTCGGTACTACTGTATCGAATAAACTTGCAGTCTCGTCGTCCCATGTTCATCATACGTAGGTATATTCATTATTCATACCTATATGCAACACGAATCGTTCAAGGAATCAGTCAATAAATTTAATGATGTGTACTGAAATTAATGAGGAACCTCAATATAATATGTCAATTTTACATCCATTGCTATGAGTTATGACCTATACTCAACGACGAGGTACACTCGAAACCTCCTATACAGCAAAGTTACTTCCTCAGTTTTTTAATTTTCCACTTATTAGAAATAGGCACCTAAAATCGTTGATGTTAATGTGTATAATATATTTTATTGTATACCTTTATTTAGTAATTATGCAAAAAAATATGTGTTTAAAATAATGAAAGTACACTACTTTTAATATGTCATCGTTAATTACTAACATTTGTGAGCTCAACATTTTGGCATATATTATTGAGACTTATAAATATGACGTGTGCCACAGAAAAAGTAACATAGTGTAAATGATATGGTTTTAGTACTATTTGAAAGCACATATTTATTTAAAATCAATAATGATGTTTTTAATCTCGGTTGTTTTATCTGTCAGTTTGACTACTATGTAAGTATTTTTAAAATTTGTTTTACAGTAAGAAAAACACAAAGTTCAGCTGATTTTTATACTTAATATTCTTACATATTACTTATTAGACAACTTTCCTAAATTAAAAACACTATTTTTATCTTCGGTTAATAAAATTATGCGGATAACTGTACGATTATAATTTATAATAATACGTGAGTTTTAGCTATTCTGTAATTTCTATACCAATGATAACATCTATATAAAATAGTTATTGAGAAGGTTTCTATCTAAACAATGAAGATGCTTTAACTTTTTTTTTTTTTAAATGTATTTAATTAACGATAAATAATTGTATGCAACTACTAGTTTTGATTATTCGGTAAAAATGTATTATAACCGTCTACAATAAATAATTTGATGTTCTCTAAAGTTTTTGCTTTGTAATAAATCATAATAGTTCATAAATTATTAAAATGTTTAAGCAGCTCTATATAGGTATTGAACCTAACTGTGGATATAGGCTATGCGCTAGATTTTGGATAAATATATCATCTTTAAATATAACATACTCCTAGGGATCTAATTTTGATTGCATGGAAACTGTATTTACTATGTTGTGAAATGTGTAGGTGTAGATGTATTGAAAACTTATAAAATAACAAATTGACTTAAAATTTTCGGTGACAAATTGTGGAAAACATTTTAATTTAAATTTTTTCTAGATTTGCAAATCCATTGTGTCCGTATATGAATAGAGGTAATTTTAAAATCACTACAAACCTATAGCTAAATATTATTTATTTGGACTAGAGTACCGACTTAAATTAAATTCATATTTTTTCGCCGATACTCGAGTATTAAATTAATATTTACTTTAGGAAATCCAAACCTTTTACCTCAACAAAAGTCATCAACGACACAAGGAGATCAAGTTTATGCTCCAAGCATGCCACAATTTTCAATGGAAGGAAATCGTCAAATGTATCCAATGCCACCACCAATGATGCCACCACCACCAATGATGCAAGGATTCCAACCTCCGTTTCCATTTAACCCCATGAATCAGCAACAACTATCTATGTTGTTGATGTCATCGTATGCTAGAGCAATGGCATTAGCTCAACTCATGAACATGCAAAACAGATTTCAATTTTATCAACCTAATCAATACAGTGGTATTTTTATTAAAAATTATTATAATAGCAGTAACCTTAGTTTACTTTAATGATAATTATTTTTCAACTCACAGTAAAAACTGAAATTGTTTATTATTATTTTATAACAATTTTAATAGTATTTCATTTTTTTGTTTAAGATCCAGCCATAAATAATTATAGCTCAATGCCAGCTACACTACCTCAACAACCACAAGTAGATCTACAAAATAATTTGAAAACTGAAATGTCGCCAGAACAAGAAAAACAGGGAGAACCAGGAGAACCAAGAGAATCAGAACTAGAAACATCACAGCAACAAGGAGAATTACAACAACAAGAAGAACCACTGAATTCAGGAGAAGGACAAGAAACAGAAGTATCAGGAGAAAGAGAAGAACCAGAAACACGAGACCAGGACATTTTAGAAAAGAGAAAAATGCAACGCGCACTAGACATAGAAATTGAAAGGCGTGAAAGACTTCAGAAAAGAAAAGCGGAGGAAAATGAATTAGAAAGGCAACAAAAAGAAATGGAACGTATGTTACGTGAAGAAGAAGAAATGAAAAGGCAAGAAGAAGAAACTAAAAGACAAATATTAGAAGAAGAACGAAAAGAAAGGGAAGAAAAAGAAAAGGATATTAAATTACGCCAAGAAGAAGAACTAAGATTTAAAAAAATTGAAGCAGAAAAAAAGAAACGAAATCAAGTCAACAATAAACCACAGGGGACAAGTGTCAGACGACAACGTAAACAAAAACATACTAAGAAAACAGTAACCGAAGATATTATTGAACGCCTATAGGCAAAATACTATGAGAAAAATTAAACTAAACTAACAAAATAAAAAAAAACGTTTATATCAAGATCATTTATAAACAATAAATAAAAAATGTACTTTTTCTTTATGACATGGTTGTATTTAAAATCACAAAATATTATTTTATGAACTAATAAAATAGAGTAAAAACGTAGTACCTGTCTACAATATTTATTTATAAAATAAAACTACCTTGTCAAAATGTTATTTTTTTTTATGAAATTATAAAAAGTCTTTAGAAATATTACTAACGATTGGATAACGGGTTAAGTTGATAAAAATTATGTATAATAATCTGATTCATGACATATAATTTTAAAATAGTAATTTTCATAATTTTAGAGGAGAATCCTTATGTATTTTCATATAAAATAACAGCATAAAAATACCCATGTTCCTTCTTAAGTTTAAGAAATATTAATAAATAAACAATTTAAAAATATCATTTATTATATTAATAAATTTAAGAAAAATAATCTTTTATTAAAGTCCTACAATTTCCGTGTATAACTAAGTATTACACTTTCTACACACATTTTTTTTTTGTATGGATATACATTTTAAATATTGTTATGAAATCTAAACTTTAAACAATATTGAAAACAGCATTTTAGAACCAAATCGCCGTAAAATGAACATTAAATACATCGTTTACACACAATAAGATACATATAAACTTCATGCGAATGAAAGTCGTTTCAGATCCAAATTTAATTAAACGCCGCGAATATGAAAGTTCAAACAGCACACAGAAATCCATTTTTGGTAACTCTTGGAACAGTTCAGTTTTTGTTGTAACTTGTAATATTAAGTTAGAAATTGATAGCACATTCTACTGCTTCGATAAGTTGTTGAGAAGACCGAAAAATTACCACACTATAATAACATCTAAATTCTAGATTCTGAAGTATTTTAGACTTGATTTATGATCTTTAAGATCTCATATATTTAACATTTCAAGGATTCGTTTTTCCCTTTTCGTTATCAATTTGTTATATCCAATAATAGGATAAAATTGTCGTAACATAAAAATATATATATTTATGATAAGTTGTATGATGCGCAAAAAACCTATTCCGTGTAATAACCGATCGCCTAGGTTTATTGTGTTATTAAGAAATTGCTCACCGAATAATAATTATAATATTATTGACATTATCAAGTTGTTAATATTTCTATGTTATACAAATGATGACTCAACTCTTTATCTCCACCACAAGCCTATCTTAAAGGCGATAGAAAATTGATAAATTAATTATTAAAATTATGTTCTCAGGTATATATATTTTTTCAATTAATAAAAAAAAATGAAATTGTTCTAATTCCAATAACAAAAATTAATAATGTTATAATTTTTATTTACATTCAAATAAATGTAGTTCTTAAAATTATTTTAAAATAATATCTAAAAAAACTTCGGAACAGGTGATAAAAATGCGATTGTATAGTATTTTCCGTAGCCTATACGTTAAATTTGTTCACTCATTAACATACAAATATTTAATCAATCACAGTTTTTTATTTTATTCGCTTTACAGACTCCGTTACAATTGTTGACAAAGAAATTATTTCTTTTAGATTCTGAGTAGAGCGATGAGTGTATTGATTTTACAATGGTATGTATATATTTTTTTTGTCTGTCTGTCGTCATCTTTTATCTTCAATAAGCAATATTTTTGTTTCGTATTCTACTATTTTAAAAATTGTTCTTAAAACAATAAATGTATTATAATGCATCTAAGAATTTCAAAGATTTCATAAAATAAGCAGGTGAGACAATAGCAACAGTTCTTCTAGCACTATTTTCCAAACTAAAGTTTAACTTGCTCTGATTAAAATATAATAGTTATGTGTAATTCGACATTCTTGAACCAATTAAAAAATGAATTTACTAATTGTTTCATTAGCATATTTATTTTTAATTGTAAGTATACATTCGAGATAAAGTACAAATATTGTAATAAACAAAAAAAATACCTACTTTTTAAGTATTTTGTATACTTTTATATTTTAGTCATTATATTTAAATACGTATTCTGAATACATTTGAAAAGTATTCTTAACAATAACTGTACATAATGCATCTCTTACTCAGTTTATTTGTCTTATAGGCTATAGCCTAATCTTCTGAAATATTATACTTATAAACTCATTCCTATAATTATCATTACTTTATAACATCCTATTCAAATGCAATAATCCTTCATTGACTAAGGTTAATTATCCATCTTTTGTATAAACATTTTAAACTTGTGTTCTGAATAAGCACTTTTTTGCAGTGGTGCAATTGAGATGATGTCTTTGCAATATCCCCACTTGTACTTCTTTGTGTTGTAACTTTAACTAAATCAGCTTATGACATTTTAATAACTTAATTTATTAAATATTACTCAATGTGGTATTTTAATAATACGAATTCCCGAATTACTAAATTAATGTTTACAGCCAATTTTAGTGATGATAATATTATAATACTGTAAATGAAAGATTGATTGTTTTTATAGGTACCCTATAAACTTATATGTGTAATTTATTGTTTTTATTTTTCATAAAAACAGGATAACTCATACCTTTTGGCCATTTTGAATTACTAGGACTATGATTGTCATGAAAATAAATTTTTAGTGGATTATATTGCAACATTACTTTCTTACCCTATAGTTATTTTATCCTTTGACTGTTTGCATACCCATTAAACTCATATTGATGGTAGTTAAAGGAATTCTTTCAGTATTGCATTTATAATGGCCCAAGTACTTGACTAATCGAATTCAGATTATAAATGTCAAAATGTCTCTGAAATTGATTTGATAAGTCCACACATAATAGAAGAGAATATTTTTTACGTAAAGAAGTACCTTTAGTGTGAAATGGGTTTTCATGTATTTATGCATGGTATAAACTTTATTAATGTAAAAACAAATTTAACTCAATCATTATTAAGATAGCTGAAATATAATTAGTTAGTTTGGAAATATTTATGAAATATATCATGTGAGTTTTAATGTATTTTTCCAATTATGTTTCAAATCTATTTTTACTATGAACTAATCAATCACTATTATAATATAATAAAATATAGGTCATTTGAATCTTTTTTTTAGGCCTATTGTGTAAATGGTAAAAGTTTTTAAGAGCATCCCAAAGCACACAATTATTCTAAACATACAATTGTATATAATATGCCTATACAATTTAATATATTTGTTTTTTTAAATACAGATTTTATATAAATCCAAATTCAATTAAGCATCTAAAAGTAACAATAAGTCATTAATTATTATTATCTACTAATAAGTCATTACTATAATATAATTGAATTAAATATATTTATTATTTTTGTTCGTGAATACTAACAATTAATATGCATTTAAAAAACGAAAAATAAAATATAAAACTAATTAACGTAATACTGCTCCTACCCGAAAAAATAGCTATAATTGTAGCTATATATAATTATTTAAGCGCAACATGTTGCGGAATATGAATAGAAAACATTGGTTAGTGTGTCGCTTGCAATTTTTAACACTTGTAGTCTTAATTATTATATTAACATACTTGAGTTCTATGATATTAGAACATATATCTGAAAATATATAATAAATAAGTAACATAATGCTAATAATGGTTCTATATGTATACATGTCAAATAAACATTGATTGAAAATCAATGGAAACATTTATACAACATTAAAAAGTAATTATTAATTATTATACTAACAGAAGAAATGATTTCGAAGTATATATTATTAATTGTCATCATTTCACAAAATATAGTGTAAGTGTTAAGTTTAATAATTTTAAAAATGTATATTAAGTTTTTTTATTTTAGTTATTCGTTCAATATGTATTTTGGAAGACCATCTATTCCATACTTTTATTCAATGCCAAGAAATAATGGTAAAATAGTTTTATTATTAAAATAATTATATACTTGAATTCAAGATACAGTAATTCAATTTTTAAATTATTAAAAATCTCTATAAATATTTAGTTTGTATATAAATACTTGGGGTAATTTTATTATGTAGATTATATAAACAAATTTCGGTATACATAAGGTTGTTTAAAGATTCAAACAAATTAAAATATTAAAATATATTCATTAATTGTATAAATTAAGAATATTTACAATTTTGTTTTATTTTATTTATTATAAACCGATGTTACTAAAATGGACGTTCATTTACTTGAAATTTCTTAAGAATATTACCAAAAATATTAACTTAATAAACGTTTATGCTAATTTAATAGTAAGTATATGCCAAGTAAAGTATATTAATTTTATATGATCCTTCTAGATTCTGAGCAGAAAGATAAACGAATTGATTTTATAGTGATGTGTGTTGTTTTTTTTGTCGGTCATCAAGTTTTGACACATTAAAAATGCTTCAATCTTCTTCAACATCGTCTATTATGTCAGGAAAGTGAATCTAGCTGGTAATTTTGCGTCAGAAAACCCATCAAAAAATTAAGGAAAAACTGAAATTTTTAAGCAAAATAGATTTTCGACAAAATCGATTTCAGACTTATTGAGGTAACTCTATATAAAATTACCCCTAGATACATGAAATTTTCACTGAATTTTAAATCTACATTTTCTATGCATCATAACATTTTAACTCGTGTCGAACTATTTATAGGCATAATTATGAAATTTTCGATTATTATTAGTTTTTTCTAAACTTTTGTTAATAAAAAAATGTCCGCTCTGTTAAAAAACTTAAAAATGTAATACAAAGTTCCTTATAAGTAATTGTTTGTGGAAATTAAAAAAAAAGTTGAACGTAAACGCAACATATTTTTTTATGCGCATTTGATGTTAGACGTTGAACCCTTAAATTAACAATTTTTCATACAACAATATTCTTATTTTGTTGTTATTCAACAAATAATAACCGTAGGTGCTTGATATTTTCATGAAAAGTTAATTTCATCATTTTCTTTACATGGTAGCATTTTCAAAATATTGTGATTTGTTTTGAGTTGCTTAATGAAATATTCAGTATTATATTTTTTTTAGTTTTTTCCTTTAAATGTCAATTAAATTGTATTCGTTGGTTCAAAAATCTTGAAAATTAAATTCTAGGTTCCTTATAAGTAGTTAGAAGTTTTTTCTAAGAATTTAAATTTGAATTTTTGCGTAATTCCTAAAAATATAAAAAATTTTGAAATTATTTTGTAGTTAAACAATTTTAGGATAATGTTTAATTGTTATGGCTAAGAATTAACAATTTAATACAAGGCTTCTCGTGCATAATAGTTCATACACTAACCAAAAAAAAAAAAAAATATATATAATCAGGTATTTTTTACAGACATTTTAAGTTTTTACGAAACTATAGCTATATTAACACCAAGATTAACGATTTCAGTTAATTTGTTGTAATTTTAAAATATTATTAGTGGGTACGTCTTGAGACTTTAGAGTACATTATTATATTTATATATATTATTTAGCATACACACAAATACAAAATGATATTTTCAAATGCAATTTTTTGGCAAAAATGTATTTAACCTACTGTATTACTGATGCCTAATAATTAAATCAATTATTTCAATCACATTAATATCATACAATTTTTTTATTAATATTATAGGCAAACAGACTATCTTTGCTCAGAATCGTTTTTCGTATAAAATGATTATTGAATTCAAATTTAACATATCCATTACAGTTACTCTCTAGTCCAACTCTCTACTCCTAATGTATAACAGAGAGTTACCCACTATAATTTTATTTTTCACATAAAAGTACATTATATGTACAAAAGTACGATATAAGTGATTTAGTTATAAGTTAATAACACGTTGATATGTCAGAAATGGGTGTACAATGTCACTGAAAACTCTGAATATATACTTTTATTATTATTAATATTAATATTCATAAGACATACACAATTTATAATACAACATTTACATTTACGATAGCCGTATGTGAAAAATGATTAGAGTAATGTTAAATTTAAATTACATGAGCGAAACTTCCAACGTAAGAGTGATATATATATATATGTTATTACTTATTATTAGTGTAAAATATCACGGCGCCAGCGTATTTTAAGATGGTGGAATGAATTTACCGTCATTGTTCCTACTTCCTGTAACTAATGTTTCGATTAAAATATTGTTCAGGTGATTTTGAATAATTGAACTTGCCATGTAGTCGCTATACAAGTGACTAGCTATTCCTCCTACTGTTCATATACAATATACATACCATGCAAGTTGGATTTGGGATTTGATTTTTGACATATATAGTACAGTTTGTTTAGTAATAATAGTGAGTTATTGGAATTTAAATAAATTTCAAATTTTTGGGGACCACCTACATACTTGGATACTATTATAGAACCAGAAGAATTTAAAATTAAATTAAATTAAAAAATATTTTTCTAAAACTTAGTATTATAATATTCTTCATAAAATACTTTAATTCGTAGTATATTTGTTGTAAGTTAGTTGATATTTTGTACCAATTCTATAATATAACTGAATAATAAAGTTGTATTTAATATTAATGTTATTGAAAGTGTGAATAACCAAATGACAAAAAAGTAATCTGGACAAAGATAAAGATAACAGAAAAATGGAAAATGAAACTAATATGTAGTAAATTCATACTTCCGAAACAATACTTTCTTTTCTATTTTAGAAATAATGAACAAGATTTTTTTATCGTTAAACCTTTAGGCGGGGGGAGGGCCAGCTGGTGCTGTCGCAAATTACATAGGCACGATAAAATCTTCGTACCGTATCAAGCGAAACGATACGCATTAGTCAAGTGTAAAAGATTCGTGTGCCTACATCCGAAATTCAATTTGTGTCCGATATTCATTGACGTAACTTAAAGTTGGGCACACCATGTTGATCGGACAATGGTTGGTAAATTACGTAATATATCGTAGCATTTCGTTTTTGATACAATATTTTGGGGGAAAGTCACGCAGTTGTGTCGACATGACGTCACAATGCTGTTCAAAACGTACCTGCACCAAGGGTCGCGGGCGAGCTACTACTGAATACTTAGGATATAGATACATTCTACGCAGCTAATTTAATGGTAGTAATACTAATAATATCCATCTACGTAACCACGAATACCTAGCAACCTTCATTAACAAAATAGCAACTGTTAATTGTTTGTTAATTACAATTTATGTTGCAAAATCATTTCGTCTTCTGCCATTTTCTGATAGCACTTTGTCGCGTCAAAATTCCGAAAATGAACCTCTAAGATTTTTTTAGTATGGCAAAATATACTAAGAACCTCAAACTCAGATAAGTGCATATTTGAAAAATTGGATTTTTTTTGTTTTCTAATAAAAATCATGCAGAATTCGAACTAAAAAAAAAATACATTTTACTATTATTTTAATTAAATTATTGGCTGTATCATATCATAATAGTGAATACAATTATTATAATTGTATTAAGTACCGATCGCACTTTTTAAATATTCTGTAATGATGATATAATTATACAAATAGCATTATTCATTAGTATCAAAATTTAAAGTATAGTTATTTTGTCATTTTTACAATTTAATTATACGTTATATAATATTACTATTTAATTTTAACTTTTAAATTCTGAATATTAATCAATAAACCTAAATTAAACATCAACGAATAAACGTTTTCATTAGTATTCCAATATTTGAAGGAAATAAAATAAAACAATTTGTTCAATAAACACTTAAATATTACGTAAATCATATTAATATTAAAAAATGTAAGGAAATTGTATTTTATAATTATATTTTTATATTTAATTAAATTTCTTATTATATTATTATTTGAATAGTCTAAAAAAAACTAATTGACTTTCACCTGTAACATAAATATACTAGATAAAGATTACAAATGAAACAAATATTTTGAGGTTGTAAAATCAAAATGTTGAAATGGTTAAGAAATGAAAATCTAAAAACCAGTATGTTATTATTGTTATTTGCCGTGACGCTTCATAAAATTAATTTTGATTTATATAGTATTTCAGATCTTACAAGACAACTTTGGCAGTCTTTATAAGAAACAAGACTTTCAATGGAATACACAGTATCCAGGAAATAGGTTATTGCAACTGCCGCAAGTATTTAATCATAATAATGAAGTGCATAAAACACAACAAAGATCTTATGTGGATAAGCGATTCGAACCACAGGGTAAATATCCAATGAATCACCACATTTTTAACGTTCAAGCACAGCAAGCCCTTCTCCAACGTCATCAATCAGAAAAACAAAAACAATATCAAGAATATTTATTAAAGAAACGAGAAGAAATTAAAAAACAACAAGAACAAGAAAAACTGAAAAAGGAACAAATGCTCAAGAAAAAAATTGCTCAACGTTCAAAGTTTCTACAACGGTTATATTATGATAATTTACTACATCGCGAGTATGATGAAAACGAACTTGAAATGCATCGAAAAAATGCAGCCGAAACGTAATAAACAATAAAATAAATTAAGCATAATAGACACTATAGCTAATCATGTATAATTTAATGTATGGATTATATTATGTTACAATCATATTATAAAATTAATTTAAAAATATATCATAATATAATTATTTGATGTGATTTTATATTTTACTATATTGTGGAAACCGTTGTTATTAAATTTAAATAAATGACACTCTATATAAGAAAATATTTATATACTTATGTAGGTAAGAAAAAAAGTTTTAACATAGAACTTATTTAACCACATAAATATTCAATGCTGATGTATTTGTATTTATAAATAAAAATAAAACATGATACACATAACTGTTAAATTTCATTTAAAATTTGTGACAATTTGTCTAAATAAGATGATCTGTTTTTTGTTTGAATATCATATTTTGTGCATATATATTTTATGGTACAATGCAGTTGTACAGTATAGTGTATGTAGCGTAATACATATTATATTACATATATAGGTACATTTTAGATTATTCTATAGGTTAAACTACAGTTAATTAGTATTGTCCAACCCGTTTGTAAAGCTTTGAAACACGTTTCATCTTTTGAGGATGAATTTTTTAATTAACAATTATAATTTATAATAATACTATAAAGTAGTTTTCGGAGCCTTTGACCCGAACTGAGTGTGTGTCTGTGCTTTTACGAACTATGTAAGTACTTCAAATTTTCAATCAGCATTTTTAGACATTTTAACTTGCCTTTTTATAGTTTTATTCCATACTTTTGATACAAATTATTGTGTCCCATAAAAAAAAATTAAAAGTTGAATATAAGTTTTCCTTATGAATTTAAAAAATATCCAAAGTACAAAAGTAACAGTATTTATAAGAGTTCGAATTCAAATTTTGACAAATTTGTAGTAATCATACAAATTTCGAAAAAATTAAAAATGACTTTTATTGACATTGTTTAAAGTTCAAATGTTGGAAAATTAAATATTTCATTATGGTCAACAAATAAAAATAAATATTATTATGTTGTAATTCAAAAAAAGTTATTTATAGAAACTTGAAACTATTCACCACTAGCCGTGTATATTGTTATTCATTTTGCACAGTGAAATTATCAAAATATTTTTGATTCATTTTAATGAGGTTTATTTTATATTTGGACCTACTTAAACTATTTTTTGGTACCTCGATATCAAATTATAAATTACAAGTTAATTACAGAAGATAGACGTTAATATTATATGAAATAATATTATAACAATTATTAACAACTATTACAATTAGTTTAATCATGATAAAATATTAAGAACTTATAAATAATTGAATCAATATTCTTTATAGCATCCCTCTCGTTTTAATTTTTTAATTTAACACATATTATGTGATATTTAATTTTGAATGTATTTAAAAAAAAAATACAAGTACCTAGTTTGTAGATACTGTTTGTCCCGAACTACTTTGTATAACTAACACTCATACCCATAATAATCCAAATTATATCGGTTAGGACTATTAGAATCAAGATGTTTGTTTATATTTTTTATTCCATTGTTTGAAAATCTGAATACATTCAACAGTAGAAATAAGAAACTTGAATAAATAATTTGTGTGCAAAGCCCAGTTTTTATTTCTGTACCTATTGCTAAGATAGTCAGATACAGCACTGTAAGACGGCGCTGTAGGTATACGATATAAGAACAGCTGTGTGTAGAATTATATCATCATGACGTATAAAAATATTTTTTTAACTACCAAAAGTAATTATTAAAATAGAAATAATAGTATCAGAAAAGTTATTTTTATATTTATTTTTACAAAGATATTTACAATCTGTTAACTAAAAGGAATAGTATTATGTAAATTTGGTCCATTTAATTTGGTATTTACATACCTAATAAAAGTTCCACATGAATAATTTGTGGATTAACCTATTCACAGACTTCATCTCAGGATCCCAAACGTGTTACAAGATCTTATTTGCAAAACTAAACATGTTGTTATTCTGTTGTGCACAGGTTTCAACATTTTAATTTACAATTTAGAAATTTCCAAATTTGTTTTTGCTTATACATGTGAAACATGCAAAAACATATCATCCAACCTTCGTATAACCAATACATCCAATGCTCCGCTTGGAAACTAAAATAATTGTTTCAGAATTATACATAGTTTATATTATTATAAGAACATTATTTACAATTGAACCGTTTTGTTTGTAAAAAAAAAAACTATGCAAATCTAAGCTATCATCATCATATCTTCTTTTATTATTATATATCACCGATTTACGATTAATGTGAGGACACGAGTAACTATAATATTACTATAATAATATAATCTAACAAAAAGTCCATACAAAAAGGTATGAAAATGTAATCTACAAAAATGTTTTTCTTATCACACGTATAATGACATATTGACATATGACATGACGTGTTTGTTCATATTATGGGTATTGAGTAGGTATGTGAATAACACAATAGTCAATACGGCTGTATAATATAATATGCGCAACACTCTAATCAGTATTGAGTCTAATCTATTCGAGTTTCACTCGGTGAACTATTGATTTATATACCATATAAAGTGACAGCACAGGTATAAAATGTAATATTATTTTATCGAAAAAATTGCCCATGTTGAATAATTAATCCATTCATGTCGTGGCAGTATAACGCACTTGTGTACTAGTATGATGTATTAGCTGCAGCGATGATGTCTAGAGCTCTAGACATAACAGAAACTGATATTTTTTTCCAGTGATTTACGGAGTACAGAAAACACTGCCTTTTAGGTTACCTGGATTTGGAACATAGCTATCACAGCTGTTTAAAAATTATAATGATATACATTTCTGGAACTATACCTCTGTGAAAATGTTTTTTTTATTATGTATTACGACAATTAATGTATTCGTGTAAGCACAATACTGTTCAATGGATTTTGAAAAGTGGAATGTTTCAAATGAATGTTTATAATTTTATCAGTACATTTTACATAGTCTGGATTGTCATGTAAACTTTTTGTAGGTACCTACGCCAATGTAAATATTGTACTCATAAATTAATTATACTGTTCAGTGTTTATAATAATTATAGTAGGTACATATTAGTATGGGATGAATGCAACGTGCAATCAATTCATTATTTGATATTATATAATCTAATTTATAATGACTTACTGATAAAAAATTATATCATAACAATAATAAATTATTACTACATACATACCTACACATCCAATCCACGCTGGCAAACATGTTTTAAATTTTAATATTATGTTTAAAGCCAGAAAATTAATTTAATTTAAGCGAATATTAGAATATAATGCCTTCGTAAATGCGCCCGTTTCTATATCAGCACTAATTTGTGTATTGATTTAATTTCTACATAATGTCGTCCGTTGTTAGGTATATAATATGATACTATAATATGCTGCTATTGGCAACTGTACACGATTTCTAAATAATTAAGTGTTGAATGTAAAACTCTCACTCTCAATGTTGGATACAGTAGTACCAGATTTTCAGATTCACGTTCATAATTGTTACTTTATCTTTAATATAATTATAAATATTGCACAAACATAAATCGAAATAATCTAGCTATCAGACAAGGTCGTACATTATAACAAAACTTGTGAATTATTTCATTTTTGCAATGCCAAATAGTTCGATGTTTGTCGTTTGATAGACTTAATACGTAAACTAATTTAGAAAACATTTAATATAAGTCAAAAAAATAATTTCAGTCTTACAATAAAAGAAGAAAAAATACAGTTTTAAATTTTAATACAAATTATTCAATTATGCTCAGCGTAAAAAGCCGTAAATTTAATATTAACCTCGAAAAAGGTTACATTTTACTTCTGGATAAATAAAGTAAAAAAGAAAATTAGGTATTAAAACTGAGTAATAAAAAAATAATGTCAAAAGGCGTGTGTGTCTACAGCTCTTTTTTAAGGAGTAAAATGTTGCCTATGAAAATACATGACAAAGACCTCGTAATAGGTACGCATTGCATAACCAATGAACTTTGTCATTATGTTACATTAACGGAAATTAATGTACATTAATCTACAGGTTTAACTATGAAAATTATATTAAAAATGTGATGATTTATTTTATTAAGAAGCTATTATTTTCAAGGCAGAAATGAGTAGTTTTGTACAATCCTCAAAGTTAAATTAAAACATTGATCACAAAAAGTGGTTTTCCCTGTGTTATTTACAATGGCCACGAGATCAAATTTGAAATCTCAACAAAATTACTCTAACATGGATTTTGAGTTTTCATATAAAATCTCACTGAAAATGATTCTAGAGCGATCTTGTTCACCAAATAGGTCTCAATAATCAATATTTTTTTCTTGGACTTAAAATTTGCAGTGTTGCCACTTTCAGTAAGTAATAAAAGTTTGCATCATCATTAGGTATCAGTTTTTTTAGATGAATATTTCTTTAAATTGGCAAAACTGTGTTCATGTGAAAGTATGAAAGCCCGTGGTTGTTGGCACAAAGTTTGATGAGATCTTGTATAAGAACTTATGGCGGTCAAAGTGTTAAATTTTAAATGTTTTCTGTAATTATGTTAAGCTTATGATTTTATATTTAATTGTACAATTTATTGTAGTTATTAGGCAATGTTTCAAAAAGATGATTTTTTTTTATTTTACTAGGCTTTATAGAAGCTTTAAATGTCTATACGTACTATCCAAAATCACTTACCATTGAAGTGCCAGTACGCATTTCGATCAAAATGTATTTGTTATTGAAATAAGAATTTAATGATTTTAAAATATTGTTTTCTTCTATGAACATTTTTATGACAATTAGGCATAAATGCTGTAACGGTACACCGATCACGCATTATAAAACGGTCCTTTTCAGGACCACCAATCATAGACGAGTAAAGACACACACACGACCGGGACAACTTCACACCCACATTATAGGGCCCTAAGTTGTCCCACACACTTAAGACCATGGACTACATGTAGTAGAGACTCTCACGAGTCCAAAAACATCATCCCCACACACATAACCCTAAAACTGAGCAAGTAAAGCCACTTGCCGTACCGAACGCAAACACAGCCG